TATTTCTAGTACAATACAAACGAATTGTAATCGTAGACAACGAAATGTGTAAATCTACTTGTATATAGGCCGTACTTTATAAAACTTGTGTTCGATAAAGAGATAAATTAACATGTGTAGTTTTTTCTCACTTTAGTTTAGTTAGGACTAAACTTTACTGTACTTGATACTATCGATAAATAAACTTATAATGTTATTCTACGACCTAACGTCAAACCTTTTTTAAAAACTGTGATAAGTTTTTAACATCCTGTTGTACAAAATGGTTAGTAAAGTATATTTACATTCCCCTTTTGTTGTTACTTCTTGTTTCATACAGTAATTGTAGCGATTTGATCACTGAGTTTACAGCTCTCTGCCGCAGGCAGACTGTTTGTCGTCGAGTGAATAATGCGCATGCGCCGTTTTCTTGGGGAAACAATGTAACTACGCATGCTTATGCAAGAGGTTCTCGGTCAGAAAGCGTAACGTCGTACATACAAACAAGCAGAATAATAGTATAGATTATTGACAGCTGTACTTGAGCTCCAGGAATCTCTGACATGCACATGCGGGAACGTTAGAGTTCAAAATACTATTTTTTTTCTTGCATTAACTAACTTGGATGTTCGTAAATTTTAATCATATTTTAAACAAGAAGGAATCCACAATAGCCGCAGCACTTGAAATTCTTTTGGGCAAGATTAGAGTAAATTAATCTATGAGACATTTTTTATTTTTAGTAGCTATATTTTTGTGCGCCAGCAATACCAAGCGTGGAGCGTATACTCGATTCGATTTTATTACTCATCAAGATCTCTACCAGCCTACCCTCAAATTGAAATTCTTTTAGGCAGGATTAGAGTAAATTAATCTATGACACCTTGTGCGTGATTAAATATATCAATCCAAAGGGTTTGACCTCCTGAGTCTAAAGCTATAATTAGGTCTCAAATCGGTCAAGAGATGACGGAGCTATGAGCTAAAAGTTTGACTCGAAAAAACAAACAAAAAACTCAAAGCCATTGTACGCTATGCAGTGGCGAAAGAATTTACATTCGTTTCGCGCTAGTTAAATGTTTAAATATTATAACAACCGATAAAGTAATATCATGCATTCAGACAATAATTTAAAAGTGTTTACATCTGCATCTTGCTGTTTTCTTTCGTTGTTCTTTTGTTTGTTTCCGTGACACAGAAATTTCCTCTTTACACATTGATCTATTGCCACAAACAGAAAGTTTCCCCTGGGAGACAGCGGTAAATTTACTAACATTAAAATACGGGGTTTGATTCCCCGCGGTGGGCATAGCAGAAAGTCTAAAGTAAACAAACAAATAGAAAGTTGACTGTTACTGAGACAGTCCTTAATCTTTACACACCACATGCAAAAACGATTCAATCCGAATTTTAAAAAATCGCTATGTTTGTTTGTTTGTTGTTTTTTTTTGGCCGTCCCTAATTTTGCAGTGTAAGACTAGAGGGAAGGCAGCTAGTCATCACCACCCACCGCCAACTCTTGGGCTAATCTTTTACCAACGAATAGTTGGATTGGCCGTCACATTATAACGCCACCACGGCTGAAAGGGCGAGCATATTTGGTGGGGATTCGAACCCGCGACCCTCAGATTGCGAGTCAAGCACCCTAACCACCTGACTAATCGTAGTCCATATTTATAAAGCCAGGCCCGGCTTTGGACTCAACTACAAATAAATTATTAATAAAATAATTAAATTCACGGTATATTTATATACATTGAAAATAGCT